ATAGTTTTGCCAACATTATATGAAACTAAGATGACAGCTGCTGAAAACAAAAAAGTTATAAGCCTGCCAGCAGCTAATGTGTGGGGGCGATTGGATACAAAATGTGTTCGATAATATTATCACCCCAGTAAAGGAATATATCCCAAATAGTACAGAGTGCCTGGGTGAAATACAGTATTAAGCTGCCCTTGGGTATTATGAGTTTGGACTAAATCAAAGTTCAATGGGCAGTATTTTGGAGAGCACCTTTTCCTAATGGACTTAATTACTTCATAATGTCAAGCTCCTCTAATGCCCGAGTTACAAATATAACTTACGAATATGTATTTCATTTGTAACGGGAATGGGCCATTGTGAGCATGTCTTCCTCCCCTTCAATTACTGAATCCGTCAAAGCATTAATTTAAAGCATTAAATAAAAGTCAGGATGTCAAAATGCTTGTAAGAATAACCACTTAGTATCCCCGAATGCAAGGAACTTAATGCTTTGGTACGGGCTATTTTAAAGCTATTTGTATTCAATTGCTGTGACTTCTGTGAGTGTCTATTGTAATCATCACATCCGACAGGTTTGTACAAGTTGTCCTCATATACCGCCCCCCCCAAAGCCTCCGCCATCTTCATGTCTGAGTTCGCTGAGCTGCTCACCTCTGTCTGCTGCAGATCTCCATCCACATTACTGCTTGGTGACTTCAACATCCATGTCGACTCCAGTACATGCACCTTTGCCTCTGAATTTATTTCACTACTCGACTGCTTCAACATCACACAGAACGTCCAAGGTCCCACCCACACCAAAGGTCCCACGCTGGACCTAGTGTGCTCTATTGGCACCCCTCCCTCCCATCTCCAGTGCCTGGACTTAGCTGTTGCGGACCACCATGCCATACTATTTTGTGTTCCTGTCCTCCTGCCCATGCAGCGTGCAAAACGCACCATCACATTCAGGAACACCAAAACACTGAGTGCACCAGCCTGGACTTAGCTGTTGCGGACCACCATGCCATACTATTTTGTGTTCCTGTCCTCCTGCCCATGCAGCGTGCAAAACGCACCATCACATTCAGGAACACCAAAACACTGAGTGCACCAGCCCTGACCAGCACGATAGCATCCCACCTAGCCTAAGGTGACCAGATTTTCAAAATTAAAACCGGGGACATTTTGAGTTTTGCGGTGAAAATATCATTAACATATCCAATTTTCTTCACTGTTAAAGGTGGGGTAGGTAAGTTTGAGAAACCGGCTCGAGATACACTTTTTGTTATATTCCATGGAATGCTCTTAACATCCCGATAGCAATTAATATCTTAAGTGCTTTGACAAAAAATCCATAAAAAAATTCATTGTGGAAGCCGTAGTACTGTAAAAAGCACGACCAATCATTTTAGCCGGGCCGGCTAAAATAACTGGATGGCCTACCTGCCTGTCAGCCTTCCATCTGTGCACACACTTATCTCGTGCCCTCATTGGTCATGTGCGCGTTCGTGTGTGTTGGAGGAGGGGCTCTGTAAGTTAGTGGCAGATTTTTTCCGGCTGTGTATTTTCAAATTCTAGCGCACTCGAGCTGGTTTCTCCAAAATTACCTACCCCACCTTTAAAGAAAAAAGGGGGACAATTCTGGTTCAATTTAATTTGAACATTTTAACTGTTGGATACAAACAGAAGGACGATAGCTCATATATGAGACTTCCAAGGTCTTCTATTTTGAAACTGTACATCAGATTGTCCTGATTCTCTCTGAGTGACTAGATGGCATGTCCTGCTATCACCCTGGAATGAAATAAGTCTTTGATAATTTGACAGTTTTTTATTTATTCTTGTATAAAAACAGAAGGATGATAGCCCATATATGAGATTTCAAAACTATTTTATTTTGAAACTCTACATCAGATTGTCCTGATTTTCTCTGATTGACTAGATGGGGTCTCCTGCTATCACCCTGAAGTGAAATAAGTCTTTGATTGACTTCGAATGACTCTTTGATTATGGACAGTTCCATTAAATAATAATCAAAATATAGATGGACAATAGATCTAATTTGAGATTTTAACAAAACAGCATACATTTTAAATTGTGCTTCAGAAAGTAATGTTATTTTAGGAGTGTTGTGAGATGGTGTCAACATCAATTGAAATTAGTCACCCAGTGGAAATGTCCGATATGTCTTCATAACTGTATCCTTACATTTTATATTCACTCAGTTATAATGTGGTAGTTATACGTAGTTTGTTTTTAATTATTATTGATCACATTATATAGTACATATTTCTTAATTTAAGCTCCAACATGAATATGTTTGGTGCGTTTTTTAGGTATATTTGTTATTGACCGAGTAAACGCTTTTATTTTGAAGGCAGTTTTTACAGGCCTCTACCGTAATGCATAGGATATTCGCGCAACGCAATACAATGTGCGGGCTGGCTTGACTGTTTTCCGAAGTGGGGGCTGGCTTCACCACAGTCTGTTTACCCAGTGTTTCCTGACATGAAACGTTTTATTTCACCTTGCTATGTGTTTTTAACATACATTAAAAAACGGGGACATTTCCGGGGACAGTTTTAACCGGGGACAGGCCAATACAAACGGGGACTGTCCCCGGAAAACGGGGACGTCTGGTCACCCTAACCTAGCCTCCATTCCCCTTACCACCACTGTGGATGGCCTGGTTGCTCGCTACAACACAGCTCTATCCCTCAGCCTTGACTCTCTAGCCCCCCCTCAAAACCCGGACTGTCTCCTTTACCCGTTCGGCCTCTTGGTTCACCACTGAACTCCGCACCCTGAAGGCTTCTGGTCGTCGGCTTGAGAGACTCAATAAATGAACCGACCTCACCATCCACGGTGAAGCCTATCAGGACCAAGTAAAGTCCTACAAAGAAGCCCTCTCCCGGGCTAGGTCTTCGTACTACTCCACCCTCATTGGCAATGGCAACCAACAATGCCAACCTCCGTACATTTCGGTTAACCGGTTAATCATTTTTTGGGGGTTCGAATATTCGAATATACATTTGCTTTCAAATTCCCTTCCCTAGTTGATAAGCCAAACAAGTTAGAAACACGTACATTTTCACACTCCCTTCTCCACTAACTGGTGTTGCTAGGCAGGTATGTGAACAGTGGTTTATTATGTGAATAGAGAACAGTGATTTTCTGTGCGTTGGTTACAAGCTACACCTTTTTGCATTACACGTTTGATTAAATGTTGATTAAAAAAAAATCTGTGCAGTAACTTATGTAGATATATGTCTAAAAAAAACTGTATTTGTGTATCGCTTGTCTTTCTGAAATGAATAGTGCATGGTCATTTTACAAAATAATTATAAGAAGCACAGTAAAGCCCGGTTTTTAAGTTGTTGCATTCTGTACAAAATGGTCTTTTTCTAGACAACAATAACACTCAGTGTATCTTAAATGGATCATGTTTAATTAACTTGTTACAGTTCAGTGAGGGCTCTTATAATACAAATATAAATGCAGTATCTTGGAGACATGGAATTAGCCGATGATGAATCCAATTACAGCAGATGAAATATTATGGAATTAGCTAAATAAGAAAGGATGATCATTTAGTTGCTGCTGAAAACCTGCAGTTTTTTATCCTCCTAATAAGGAGATATGTCTGAACCCCTTGTACAGCTTGGCCAAACAGCTCTACAGTTATGATGAACTGTGGCATTGTGGTCCAGAGAGCTAAATATAGCTGATGGGTGCTAGGATGGATTGAAGGCGACGTTATATCTGGGAGGGAAATTACTAAGGCCTAATGAAGTACATGACTCATTGCTCACCTGCTGCCTATTATATAGCACACTCAATCTGTGAGGACAGTTTGGAGGGCACTACACACTTGTAGAGGGTAATAGTTCATTTTTCTTTTCAAGCTCCTCCACCGAGACCTCGTTCTAGCTTGACCCAGTTTGTGGGGGGAAATTATGACTGGTTGTTCAATCAATTTAAGTATAATAGTTTTTGTATGTCCTGCGTGTCAGATGTTAGGGCCTCGCTTGGTATGGCTAAAGTAACTTTTTATCGTTAAAGCATCCAACTTGTGTTGTGATCCAGTATATGACAAAATATATAATTCAGCAGCAGAAGAGGAACTGAGATCCTGTACTAAGGTATTAATAACGGAATGTAAAATTGTGGAATTACAAGCAAAACCAGTGTATTCATGAGTAAAAGTCCCAAATAAATGTCAACAAAATCTAAAAGATATGTTCAAATTAAAACCAAATCAGCTATTCAGAGGAGGATCAATCTTTGGTAGAACGATTTACTGACCAAAAAATGTTGGAAACCACTTGTTCCATTCCATAAACGTATCGTCTCCTTATATAAAAAAATAACCATCAACTGCAGGAGTAAAATCTCTGGATTGTATGGCATAACATGGAAATCCTCAATGTACCGAAACTAAAATACATGAGTTAAAGTACTTGGTTACTTTCTATCCTTGCAAATCCAGACAATGTTCCCAACCGTCCCCAGGCTCGAAACCAGATATTTACTGTAGAGGGGTATCAGTCTTTAGTGGAATAATTCAAAAGCCAATATTGTAAATAGCATTCCATTCCGTAAACTTGTCATATGTTTCTTTATTTAAAAGCTTCAAAAAGTAACAATCAACTACAGGAGTAAAAATCTCCCTCTGAATATTACAGCATTACATAGAAATACTCAACGTATCTTAACCAAAATACATACTTGAGTAAAAGTACTTTCCATCCTTGAACATCATTGGTTTACAGCCTCAGACAAAGCTCCTATTCATATTTTTTTGGGCAGGTATTGTGAATCATTATCCAACCGTCCCCAGGCTGCAAGTGCTCTAAAATCCTTCTGAAAAAAGGCATTTGTAGCATCAAAGGCACCTCTGAAAAAAACAAAACCCACAAAGAGGGTTTTATCAGGGCACCAAAGAGGGTTAGTGTAGTTTTTCACAGGGTTAACCGTTCCCAAATTGTCGGGGTAGTAGATTGGAAGTGAAGGGCGTGCTCCTGGGCGAGGGGAGAGGGGAGAGTGGATGAGAGAGCGGCCCTAATGCGGCATCTCATTACAACCTCTGTCAGGATCCCTCTATTCCACCATCAGCTCCCCTTAACTTGGTAAGAGCCCAACTGTCGTTTCGAGTGAGTGTGCCGCCAAGGAGGCATTTACAAATAAATGAAAAATGTCACATTTGATTTCACTCCTCTCGGACTGCGGCGCCTCAGCTTCGTCACAAACTGTCTTTGTTGTTGTGGTCTCTCGCAGGTCCCGCTCCCGGTCGCCGCGGATAGGTTCTGGCAGGTTCAGGCCCGGTGTATCTCTTCCTGGGTAAGCCGGCAGACAATGACCTTCCCTTAATGTTGTTGAAACCGATTCCGCCATCCTGTTCGGCTTGTCCTTGAATGGCATGTGAGCGGGCAGGAAGTTGGAGCTGGTTTGCGATGACGGGGAAATAAAGAGCTGGTAAAATGGCGTGGCATGTCGCTTAGTGAGAGTCAGCATGGTACCGTCTTTAACCCTTGGCTTTGCGGTTCGCCTGGGATGCCCTCGCTACTGCCGCCGCCACAAAGGCAGGGAATTAAAGACACACTGCACCTTTTTGATCTCCAGTATTTCCTGAGATCCTTCATTCTGTATTTTTGGAAAGATATTTCGCTTTGTACTTATATATTTTGGTACTAAAATCTTCGGATTTTTCGTTATATATGTTGTTGCGCTGAATGACGGCTTTTCCAGTCAAATATTGCAAGATATTGTTACTATGCGTGAGGATTTCTGTTATTGTCTGCATGTGATGGCAATATTATGGTTTCCAGCAAAAACCACTGGGAAAGCATTAATCAAATTAAAGCGTTAAGGTTTATTTTTGATCCATGAAATGCGAAAACGCTCCGCTATACTACAAAAAAATTCCAAACATTTTGTTAAAATAAATGCGGAAGACTTTGTCGTGCAATATTTAACGGATAAATGGTTTAGATTTTCGAATATATGTACAAAATGCACATTCTGTAGGACTTTCTGAATAACCCTATATTCTTTCATCCCAGACATACTGTACATGTTATAATCCATTGTTGTGATATGTGAAGCCATTTTAGGTTCTGCGTCACCTTATGTATCGGTTTGTACCTACCAAACAGTGTTTTAATCTCTTTAGGCATGTTTAATCTCGAATTTCCCTTCAGCTCCATGACATTACCAGTAATATAATTTAGAAGCATGCCAGCGAGATACAATTGCATTGTTTCCACTATACACACAATGCTATATATATATATCCCCTAATACCTGCTACAGCCTTCAGTCCCGAGCATCACAACACATCCACAACATACTGCTGCTCAAAGCACCAGCATCATATTGACATCAAACACTGGCACTTCTTTAAAGCTCTATTGTTGTATGTAAGGTGCTCTATATGTTGCTGTGTGAGGTTTGTAATGGCATGTTACGCGGATCCATTATCCCGCGAACCTTCTGAACCAGTCGAGTCCTTGTTTTGATGTTGAAAAAAAATCAGGCTTCTTTTTCATTAAGGATTACCTTCCATCAGCATTTTAATGCTTCAAAGACCTGCACACAACCACTTTGGATTTCATGTCACGTGACATAAACAAACCCTAAACAATCGTCTAAACACTTTAAAGTGCTTTTATAAATACTTTAACCTCCAACAATTATCACGCCTCTTTGAACAAATTATTGGGAGTGTGTTGGAGAGAAAACGCTTGTACTCACCCTTAACCGTCCCAGCATATCAACTGGTGCATGCTCCTCAAGGGCACTCTTTAAAGAACCATTTGTAGCTTGCAGCGTCCTTTTTTTTTTTAAAGAGTACAAATGCCCCATGTAGGGTTTTTGGAACGGGCTGTTAAGCCTCTTTAGTAACTGTGTGTGTGTGTGTGTGTGTGTGTGTGTGTGTGTGTGTGTGTGTGTGTGTGTGTGTGTGTGTGTGTGTGTGTGTGTGTGTGTGTGTGTGTGTGTGTGTGTGTGTGTGTGTGTGTGTGTGTGTGTGTGTGTGTGTGTGTGTGTGTGTTGTAGGGTTAGGAGGGGGAGAGTGTCTGCCTTTAAGAAGATCCTAAAGGCAGGACGCCCCTGCAGTTTAAAAGCTGTTAATGATGCATGTCGCTCACGGAGGAATCAGTGGACCAAAGCCAGCAGGTTTCTTAGATAAAGTGTGTGTGTGTGTGTGTGTGTGTGTGTGTGTGTGTGTGTGTGTGTGTGTGTGTGGACACCTGTAGTGCCGAGTGTAGCCGACCTTGCATTGAGGAGAAAATCCTTGTGTCGAGTAGAGGCAGCACCAGTGCCTGTCATCGCTTAAGAGATGTTGATGGGAAATTGCATTGGCTATTGAGGGATCTTGGAAATAAGCTAATGTGTAGCAAGCTAGGCTAGGTTTGTGATTTTCTTTGGCACTTTTTTCTTTGGCCTCAAAAGCATGACTGCAACACCTATAAATATAGGTGCTGTTTGACTTTGTTGTTCTAACAAACCAAAGATTAACTCCATGGACATTACAGCAAGACCCTGAGAGAAGTGTTTATTAATTGTAATTTTTATTTTGTATTCGTCTTACTTGACAGGGAAAGTGCACATTCATAGTCATTTCCGTAAATGTGCCACAGTAAGCCATGAGACTATTTTTTTGTATCTGTAGTCACTGGACATATGTTGTCAAATAACAAGTTAATAGAATCAGCAAACACATGCAACATAAAGGCTTACAATACTGGAAATGCTAACAAAAGCAATTGAAAAAACATACATATTGAATAGCAAGAAGAAAGCCATGGGAATGGCAGCAGTACATAAAGACAGAGGGCTGTGTAGTGCATTCCATTTGTCATTGTTAGCGTATGTTTCATTCACACTTGAGAATAGAGTTGTGAGGATATTTCAACATTTTAAAAATGTTGATACGAAGTCCCTAAATATCCTGGAATATAACGGAACCAGGGGGATTACCCTGACCGGAGAAAGTTTCCGTTGTGTTTTAAAAAAGCTGCACATGTGTTGTCTAGTTGGTGAAGATGATTTTTCATTTGCATTTGACTTTGTGCGTCAGCTTGTCCATGATTGAATATGAAATTACAGAGAAACTACCCACTATGACTGCAGTGAGTGAATGCAGAGCGCTACAATCACGCACACTGTTCACCGTCACAAAGAAAGATATTGTGAAATTATATGGCAGGGTATTGAGAGCTGCCCAGACAAGTCCAGCGTGATGAATAACTATCACAGCACTTAGGGGTTACATCTTGGCCTATGGTGAAGCCTGAAAAGTATTAATAACACAATGACTTTTAGCTTATTGATTTCCAGAAAGAAAACATCATGTTAAAATGCGTAATTGCACAAGCATGATCCTATAATGGAGCTCAGTGGGAGTGCAGTCATGTTAAACATGGTGGGTTAGAGTTCAGGGGGGAATAGCATATATGGAAGGAAGGAGGTCCAGAGTCTGGCCCCTTAATGCCACATCTTGGTGAAATCTACGTTGTGTTGTTTTTTCGTCTGATTCCATCAATGTCAGGCTCTTAGAATGTTCTTGTTGAAAATATCTAAATATCTTATACATATAATATAATATCAGTCCTTATGTTTTAGTAAACTAGCCATCACTTCTCCCTCCCATTGTAAATGTTTGACATTATGACATTAATAAGTATGAACTGATTAGTTAATGGTTGGTAATGCTTGACAAGCACATATTCAAATAGGAAGTTATACTCACAAGTTGCTTCAAGGGCTCTGTTGTGTTAACGAGCAGTTCAGGTCAGGTCACTCCTGTAGTCCAAGGGGCCAATTGGGGCAGTTTGATGATATCACTATCCGTCGCCAAACATCCCGATCTTCCTCCACTCTCATGCACTCTATTACTTTCTCCATCCACCTCTTTATGTCCGCCAGTGATTCTCCACTTGGCCTTCCTGCACCTTTTCTTCTCAGTGAGTGCAACAGATTTATTTGTATGGTAGGGAAATGTACTCCATATCTTATTTAGTTTAGTAAGCTGGACGATAGCAATGGCCAATCTTCTCCTCACTTCCAAGTCTGAGGTGCACTGCTTGTTTAAATAAGACCCAAGGTATACACAATTGTCTACTGTTTCCAGCACTTTGGCATCAACCTTCACTTAATGCTGTTCATCATCATTTGAGATGTCACCATAACTTAACTCTTCTCGCTGCTTATCACTAATACCAAGCAGTTTATAAGCTTCTTCTTCAAAACCAAACCCTACTTGGTTAAGGTATAAATTGAGAAACAATGTTTGTTGAGGTAGGCTTGAGATAAAAAAACAAAACAAGACAAAGTACATTGACCTTGAGTTCAGAATGATGTGCTAAACAGTTATTTCCAAAGAAGAAAGCAAAAACACTCAAGTGGTTATTCAAATAAAACACAAATTAAATTCTAATGATGGACTTGTGGATGGATTTTTCTCTGTTCTTTAAACATTTATTTTAAAAATGAACCCATGTTGTAATAGTTGTAATCCATACTGGAAACTGCTCTAATTTTCAAGCAAACATATCCATTTTCATCCATCCATCCATCTTCTCCCGCTTATCCGTGGTCGGGTCGCGGGGGTAGCAGTTCCAGCAGAGAGCCCCAAACTTTCTTTTCCCTGGCGACATCAACCAGCTCTGACTGGGGGATCCCAAGGCGCTCCCAGGCCAGCGAAGAGATATAATCCCTCCACCTGGTCCTAGGTCTACCCCTTGGTCTCTTCCCAGCTGGACGTGCCTGGAACACCTCCCTAGGGAGGCGCCCAGGTGGCATCCTAACTAGGTGCCCGAACCACCTCAACTGGCTCCTTTCGACGCGAAGGAGGAGCGGCTCAACTCCGAGTCCCTCCCGGATGACCGAACTTCTCACCTTATCCCTAAGGGAGACACCAGCCACCCTGCGGAGAAAACCCATCTTGACCGCTTGTATCCGCAATCTCGTTCTTTCGGTCATGACCCATCCTTCATGACCATAGGTGAGGGTAGGAACGAAAATGGCCCGGTAGACAGAGAGCGTTGCCTTCTGGCTCAGCTCCCTTTTCGTCACAACGGTGCGGTAAAGCGACTGCAGTACCGCTCCCGCTGCTCCGATTCTCCGGCCCATCTCACGCTCCATTGTTCCCTCACTCGAGAACAAGACCCCGAGATACTTGAACTCCTTCACTTGGGGTAAGGACTCATCCCCTACTTGGAGTGGACAGTCCATCGGTTTCCTGCTGAGAACCATGGCCTCAGATTTGGAGGTGCTGATCCTCATCCCAGCCTCTTCACACTCGGTTGCGAACCGATCCAGTGAGTGCTGAAGGTCGC